GCTCCGAGGCCCTTGAACCACAGACCTATTCGTGATAAAATTGCAAGTACTGCAACGTTTCCGACAACACGGGTATAAGCCAGGTTGGTTCACGGGGTTGTCAGAGTTGTAAACGGTGCTTGAAACACGAGTGTCGCGGGGGTTAGTATCACGTCTGTACGAGCATAAAGGTGGGTGTGAGAAGATGTTAACAGTGATTGGATCGTTTTGAAAAATTATATAATTATCAATTAACAAACTTTTAATGTGCAGGATTGAAGGGTGATAGGTTAAAACTAATGGACATCTGTCTGACGTTTTATTCACGCCATATTTTCTAGGGGTTATTAACGACGCCCGATTTAAGGGAAGTATCTTTTTTAATTTTTTAGATAGATCAGATTCATTATAGCCACGGCGTGTAAAACATTCAATCATATTGGAAGCTTTTGTGTTAAAATCAGTTTTTGAGCTGCATATCTTTTTTAATCGTAACAATTGAGAATGCGGGAGGCTATTTTTAGTGTGGCGAGAGTGAGACGAAGAATACAATGAATAAGAATGAGTGTCAGTGGGTTTAGAAAACACCGAGGTAACTAAGTTTATACCAAAGATAATAGCAACCATGTCCAGAAAAGGAAGACTATCAGAGGATGTAGAGTATGTATAATTTAGACACGGGTGGAAAGATGTGACATGGTCGATGAAATTTTGCAATTCAGAAAGTTTCATAGATGCGGCTCCAAAAACATCATCAATATACCGAAGATAAAGGCTCGGTTTGGGTCCAGTGAAGGATACGAACATTTTTGATTCAATGTAGCCGACATACCCATAGCCGACATAGCATTCATGTTACCCATGACTGTCACCAACGACTCTGACCTTTGACTGTCATCTACGACTGTCTCCCACGATTGTCAGCTACGGCTATCACCTACGACTGTTACCCACGACTGTCACCTACGACTGTCACCAACGACTGTCGCCTACACCAGTGGTCATCTAAGCAATGACGATGTCATCTGTGTGCCACAACCGCTAAAAGTGTAAAACGAGCGAGTGTGTCTGCGCTCAACCGCGTCATCTACAAATTGACGACACCACGTCACCACGACACCACGACCTGCAGCTATTCCATGCTTGACTGACTGGCTGACTATAATTATGGTCCTACAAACCGGACAGGTAGTACTGTTTGTGGTGGGCAGTGACTGGAATGGTCAGACGACGAGGGGAGCGGCGAATACGGAAATGCGTACATCCTGTAGTGGAATAGGAGATGTCCGAGTCAGAGCAGGATGACGTCACAACTACAGGAAAGACTATTTGCGGCGAGATACATATATTCGCTCACGCTCTAGCTACAAGCTTTCGAAGTTATTTGAAGTTATTCGAAGTTATCCCTCATTTGAAAAAATAACGTTCCAAATTAATGCACGTAGTACGTGATGCTCTCGTAGGCAAAGCATTATGTTGTTTCCCGCCCACACTATTATATTATTGTCAAAAAGGTTATCTGCCGTTTTTACGTCTATGCATATATCTGCGCGTTTCAGACAGCTCAACTTTCAGACAGCTATCACAGCTTGTTAAATGACGCAGTGTCGATCTGCATGAGGTCATACATACATATGCTGGCATCCACACTTGTAATAAAGACCAGGGGCCGGTTTCACGAAGCGTGATTAACTTTAATGAAACCGTGAAACCGGCCCCCAGGCGATGCGAAGAAGAGCAAAACAGATCTAACAGCATGTTTCCTATTCCAGAAAACGGAATGACCGCATTCTGAGAGAGAGAGAGAGAGAGAGAGAGAGAGAGAGAGAGAGAGAGAGAGAGAGAGAGAGAGAGAGAGAGAGAGAGAGAGAGAGAGAGAGAAAGAAAGGGGGTGGGAGAGCGAGATAGAGAGAGAGAGATAGGCGCACACAGAGAGGAGAAGAAATTAAATAAAATTGTTAAAGGATGATTTCGTTAGTGTATATTTCTTCTTTAGTTAATTGTAAAAAGACACTTTTTCTAGTACAAAACGCAGCCTTCACTTGTCAATGCGTTTTATCTTAACCCTTATTTCTTTCGTGTTAGTCTCTATGGCTTTAAGTTTATTTTTTATGAGATTTATGAGATTATGTCATGAGTATCAACGCAGGAGCTCCTTGTCAGCTGATTCGTATAGTTCGCTTTGCCGCCGTTCAACATGCGTCGCGCTAGTGGTCGCAGCACCAGCGGAGCCAAGCGGATAAACAACAAGCAACAAGTTAGTTGTTTTTATTTACTCCACTGTCCTCAGTCTCCTGATATCATAATAATATGATAAGCTATGTAATAAGCCCATAACCTGTGAACAGTGAAGCCCATGACACTACCACTGTCAGTGACACTCGTCTCCGTCTAGTATAGGTAGGCCTACAGCAGTGTTTAGCACTGTCAAATTGCAGCGTTGTAAAATTGCAGCTCTAGAACTATAGGCATAGCCCGCTTACATTGACTGCCGCTGGAAGGCAATCCTGGCATTCCTGGCAGGCAATCCTGGCATTGAATCCGCTGGCCGCCAGCGGCAGTCAATGTAAGCGGGCTATAGTACTAGAGCTACGTTTAAATATGATTTTATTGATATAGCCTATAGGGCCTATTTTTGTATTCTTGCAGTTTCAGTAGGCCTATATAGCTACTTCTTCAGTTGTTCCAGTAGTAGTTACTGAGCCACTTACTGACGTATGTAAACGTGATGAATCCAGATGGAAGGGAGGCAGTTAAAGAGATCATCTTGGCCGCGAAAGAAAAAAAAGGCAAGATGACAGAGGTAGGGTCGTCGGTCGCAGTCACTATATAGCGACTTTGCAGTTATTTTGTTGAATGTATGTCAAAAATAGTGCAATATCATTTGTGGTTAATTATTTCATCATGATAGCCTCTAGCTCTAGTACTATAGCCTCTAGCGTGCATTCGATGAAGCATTACCGTCTCGAATATACCACCCGAATGAGAGAATGTGGACAGATATGGACGTTGAAATTAAAGTTTGATGTTTTGTCCTGCAGGTGTCGCTAACGAGCGACATGCTTCCTCTTGGAAATGGCAGCAACCAGCGACGGCAGAGTTACCAGAACGGTGCTGATCTGTTCTTGTATACAGTAATGTAACCCAACAAGAGTATAGGGTACCCTACTCTTGTTGGGTTACATTATTGTATTTAAATAACATAATGAGTACCTAACTAACATAAATAGTAAATAATTGTATATGTAACTAACATAACATAAATAACGTATGTTAATTTATAATTAACATAATTATAAACCTCTTCCATAAACATTTTTTGAGGTACCGGTAGTTGATAATTGGTAGCAGAAAGGCGCTGATGATGTACGTGGTATAGTCATGAGTGTATAATATAGATATCTATATACATAATTACTTTTACAGTTAATACGATATTACACAATTAACCTGGTATCACTGGTATTACATTTACGGTTATTACATATATATAATACTATAATATCCTATGCATATACTCCTGCTAAAGTGTGTGGTTTGTAATTAAGCCTTTGTTAGCTACGTGAAACCCCGTTTCTAGTATATAGTCTATGCCGATCACGCTGTCACATGCAGCTTACAAAACTACAAATGGCTCAGCTGTCAATTCATAGTACTCTCAATCAGTGGAGATCCTTTCTATAATGCACTCAGAGTAGGTTGGAAATGCAGAAAATGAAAACCACTGGGTCACTCTATAGTAACTAGTATTATCTAGGTTAAGTGTTAAATTTAATTTTATGGAATTCTAAAATCACACATGAGGCTGTAACCAGCAGTAATCATCGTTGTCTTCACGAATGAAAGGTTCTAAACACTGGACCTTCGGCCACAAGCCGCAAAATTACTGAGCGGACTAAATTTTACTGGACCCAATATTATTTTGAAATTTTTGACAATAAAGAACAAATACAGTAATATCCTATTTGTATTTTACCTATAATGAATCACCTTTACAACACTGCTCATGATAACAGTAAGATAATCCGTATCAAATATACTCACATGCCTCTACACAATGCAACTACAATAAAACTGCAAAGATAGAATGAATAAAATCTGCGTTAGTCTTCAGTGAGCATGTATCACACATAACCGGTTCTACACACTGTATGATAACAAGTAAACTAAGGATACCTATGAAATATACATCACACTACCTCTACACACTGACTACGATACAGTAGACATACCTATCAAAATAATTCATTCATATACTTCTACACACGCTATCATAACAGTAAGTAATACCTATGACGTTTGGTTATCGCTGAAACAAGAGTTTAAAAAGTGTTATTATCTCCTTCGTGTTTTGAAAAAGGGCAGGCGAGTGAAAAAATCCACACGCCTTGGCTTGCCGAGGTGTGTGAGTGTGAATTTGCATCCGAGTGCCCGCAGGTTCAGCGAGGCGAAACTAGGTGTTCGGGGGCATGCCCCGAAAAAATTTGAAATCTAGACTTCATGAAGCCATTTCCAGCATTCTTGATAAAGAATTGCTCTGCATTTGTACTCCTTAATTGGACCATTTTTAGCTATTGTTTTTCAATCCAACAACATATACAGTCTCTGACATCATGAACTTTGAAGGATACACTTGAATCACCATTTAGCAGTGCTAGTCAAAAGAAGCAATCACACTCATATTTTTCAAAGCAGACGTATTAACAACCTTTAATAGTATTTGCAACATCCCACTAATCATATCAGTCACTTGGAATTTTTTGAATTTTTCAATTTGAAGGTAATTTCAGTTTTCATTTCAAGAAAACATACTGTTTTGCGCAATAAAACTTCACTAAAAACCTATCGCGGCTTTTTATTTTCATTGTCAGCTGCACTCTTATCATCAGTCCTCGATCTGCTGTACAATTGAAATACAGTAACCGTCATATTCATCATGTATGGCTTGCGTATGATAGGCGACGGTTTGGTTTTGCGTTTTGGTTTCGTTGGAGGGTGCCGGCTGTGCAAAGCAGTCCAAGCCGGCAGTAGGCTTTTGTGAGTTAGCGACCCCGGTCGATGGTGTTGTGTTACGTTGAGTCTGTGTAACGGAAAAATACAGAGTCAACGGATACGTCAAACTTTCGTCGGTGAAAATAAAATGATGAGCGGATGAATTGAGTTCCAAAGACTGCTGTGGTATACAGCGTACAACTGTCGTTATAAACATGTGAAACCGAGTTCCGGCAATGCATGTTCCGTGATGTTACCAACCGGTGTTTGCGTTTATTCTTCGAGTTGCTACAAGTTTGGATTAATGAAAAACAAAACACGAAGAGTGTGTCATTTTGATACATGCTTAGATGACGCGTTTTCTTCGCAGTTATGCTATTAGCCAGAAGTATCCTATACAATACTTTGATAAATACTTTTAAATCACTGTAACTAGAGTGCTGAAAAAAACGGGGACCGACGTCCGCATTTAACTTGTTAAATTTACTGGACCGAGAGAGATTTTGGTGGTCTCGGACACGGGTCCACCGCCTAACGTCGAAGACTGGAAGCATGTGTCACCATTTACTAAGTCTTGTTTCACAAATATTTGGTTCCCAGTCAGTCTTTTACACATAATCTTCTTTCCAATTTGTATGCTCATCTCCAATTAATGATTCCAGAAAACTTAAATTTGATTCAGATTCAGATAATTTTTTGTTTCAGACAATGGCAACCATCTGGCGTCCATCTTGCCCGTCCCCGGTTGCTGCCCCTTTGACGCGCGGCGAGAAGTTCGATTCTGAAAGTCTTCCACTGGAACTTGTCGAGACGACTTCACAGGTGAGCGTGCTTCGTTAGATGAGTCGTCAAACGACGTCTAAGCTACACAATAGTAGGGTAGACTTTCTCACTACGATAAAGTTCGCTGCACAGCACGCCAAACAGCGTCTAAGCTACTAAATAGTCTGGTAGACTTCCGTACCGATAATATATTTACTGCACGTAGTAGATGTATATATATAATATATATATATATATATTATATGTATATATCTAATGATCCTCAGGAGTAAGATAAAGGGAAGGAGTGCTGACTTCAATAAACAAGGGAAATTCGTTCATTTACATGCCTTATAATACGCACGATTCTACAACAGCGTAACTCATCCAACTGTGAGCTCAAATCGGACACAGTACATTCGACCATATCATCGTACCAGATCGTTTCGCGTCGTAACAGCCCGCAATCCCGGCAGATAGCAGACTAAAACATACACACGATCTTCGGGCACTCTTTGTCCATTAATTTCAAGTCTCAGTAGCAATCGCCTATACTCAAAAAAGCAGCTCTACTAACCCATCCGCTGCACGGAGGCATTGCGCTCACGGGCGAGGCGCTGTGGCTAGCAGGTGATTTAGGATCAACGCAGACACTTCGGCGAATAGACCTTTGACCGGTATGACAGCCTAGCAATGTTTGCCTGTTGTAACATACCGGCATGCCGAGCACCACGCACGCCAATCCCGCTATCAGCAGCAGCTCCCTGCGAGCCACAGCGCCTCGCCCGTGGAGCGTCAAGCCCGTGGACATGTGGTAGATAGCTGCCTTTTGTTTGAAATATAGGCGATTGCTACGGTTGATTCATGGACAAAGATTGGAAGATATTGTGTCGATTACTGTGTTTAGTCTGGATTACTCCGGATTGCCCGGGTCTACGAGAAACGCATCTGCGTAGCATGATGTCGAATGTACTGTGTGCCGACTTTGAGCTCAAGTTGGATGAGTTTAGCGCGTAGTAATCGTAGTATTATGAAGGTAGTAAAATGACGAATTTCCCTTGTTTATTGGAAGTCACCGTCCTCCCATTATCTACTTCCTGATTATATGTATATATATATAATAGTATACGATTATATCAGTTGAATATATATGTGTATACTCCAAAACACGCTGCTGAGATTCGGCACAACGCCTAAGATGTCCTTGCGACCGGTTGTGTCATGTCCATTTTGCAGCCCGTGCTCCACGATGTACAGATGGCGGTGGAGTTTCTCACCAATGACGGTCGGTTCGAGTTGTACACGATGCTGTATCGACGCATTCTCGTCATCTGGTTCCTGATTAGCGTCGTCATACTCATCGTCTTCTGCAGCGTAGGTGAGCGAGAAAACGTCACAAAATCATCACCGAATCATAGCAGAATTGTCATAGAAATTGTAACCGATTCATCACAGAATTGTCGTAGAAATCATCACCAAATCATCACAGAATCGTCATAGAAATTGTCACCAAATCATCATAGAATTGTCATAGAAATCATTCCCGAATCGTAGCAGAATTGTCATAGAATTGATAACCAAATCGTCACGGAATTGTCTCGTAAATCGTCGTCACGTCGTCGACACATCATTATCGCAGCGTTAAATTGTGCCGCGAGATCATTTGCCGCCATCGGTTTGTCGAGTTTACCGATCGTTTGCTACGGGGCACCGCCGACTCGTGTTGGGATCGGTGAGCCGCACGCACGTACCTCGGTTTTCGATTTTTCGAAAACAAGAGTTTGTGGAACGTTTTCCAGGAATCCGGGGCCTGGAGCTGTTCGGAGGAGTGATCGTGTGGCTCATAATCCTCGCCGTGGGAGTCTTCCTCTGCATGTACGCAAAGAGAAGGGTAGGTGAAGTCTTGGAAATTTGTCTGAAATCTAGGGCCAGTATTGATTTCGTATATATATGTTTGATTTCTGCTTATATAACTTTGAATAAAATTCTTAAATTCCGGACCTGCTCAGAATTTATCGTTGCTAGACTGGAGGACGGGCTGCTATTTCCAAGATTTATAGATGCACTATGCAATTGTCTAGACTAACAGTGTCGTCTGCTGTGTGCGTGTGAAGCGATTTCCGCGTTAATTGACAGTATCAATAACTCTGTACATTTACTGTCCCTTGGGTATAGCTTGGTTACCATGGTGGATTTTTATGAGGAGTTGTTGGTTTTTTCTCACGATGCTTGTTGTTGATTACAGATGGACTATAACCTGAATAAGGCAGTTGGTGCAGCGAATCGGATATTGATAAAGCACAAGCTATTACTGTGCTTGGAGGACCTGGGAAGAATCTCTTGCCACAAGTTATCTGTATCCTGACTAATTTGCGAGCATGTGTGCATGCACATAGCTGTGTGTGTGTACCTGCGGGCATGCGTGTGTGTGTGTGTGCATGTGTGTGCGTGTGTGTGTACATGTTCCGATGACCAACACGTTATGATTTTCCACAAGTGATTTATAATCCTTGATGACTGGTTTAGCTACACTTTTTTTCATATGACATCAGCGAATGTGTGGTAAGTTTAGTTGCAAGTTATTTTATTTTGGCTGTGAAACTGATTGAACCTAGTATACATGAGTTAACAGCAGTACATCATTTCGAGTACACCTGTGCTATTGTAACAAACCAATGCATTCAGACGGTTACAAATAAAACTAGTATACTGACAAATGAGTTTTAAGTGGCCTGTCCTTTGCTGTAAAACACTCGCATCTCTGTGCGTTCCCAGGTTACGATAGCAAATAAATTATTCGATGAGGAACAAGATCAGAAAGCAAAAGCAGCATCGCGAGCAGCGGGGACAGCAAAGTTTGTACGTTATATTGATTATTCACCCCTCACAGAGAGAGAGAGAGAGAGAGAGAGAGAGAGAGAGAGAGAGAGAGAGAGAGAGAGAGAGAGAGAGAGAGAGAGAGAGAGAGAGTAAGAGAGAGAGATAAAGAAACGGAGAGAGAGA